AAACGCTGCCCACCCAGAAATGACTTGACACAATTCACTGGGTGGAGCTGGTCACATGACCCTACCAAACCCCACCGGGAGAGGAGGAGGAAGCACAGTCCGGGCCCCAAATGCCCCACCTGAGCCCCCGCCTGGCCAGACACATTTCATAACCAGCACGAATGGCCACCATGACCTTTGGGGCTGGTTCTCATTTTGTCTTCACAACTACTCCACGTGATAGGCGCTATTATTCTCATCCCTGTTTTCAGAAGAATCTGAGGCTCAGAGAAGGAATGTCACATTGGTGGTCGTAGCAGCTAAAAGGTGGCAGAGTTTAAGATTTTAGTCATTGGGTCACATTGAGGGGAGAAAGAGACCACATCACAGAGAGAGCGGACAAGCCTGTATCAGTTATCCTTTGCTACGTAACAAGCCCCTCCAAACCTCAGATGCTTAGAATAATTGGTTGGCAATGTGGTCTGGGATCAGCTGGGTGATGGTTCTTCTGCTGTCTGCTGGGTTCAGCTACTGGTCAGCTAGGCAGCTGTCTTTCAGAGGGTTGACACTGATTGGGGTGTCAGGGCTGACTGGGCCACATGTCTCTTATCACCAGCAGGTTAGCCTGGACTTTTTTTTTTTTTTGGCCACACTGTGGGGTTTGCGGGATCTTAGTTCCCCAGCCGGGAATGGAACCCGTGCCCCGGAAATGAAAGCGCCGAGTCCTAACCACTGCACAACCAGGGAATTCCCTAGCCTGGACTTCTTGATGTGGTGGCAGTGACAGGGGTCCCCCGGGTAGCAAGAGAGGAAGTCCCAATGCATGAGCACTTTTCAAGCCTCTGCCCATCATTTTTGCTGTTGTCTCAGTAGCCAAGCAGATCCCATGACCAGGTCTAGAGTCAGGATGAGAAGGGACAAACCAAGGGCAGGGCTGCAGAGAAGTTGAACAGACTGGGGGCATTAATGGGCCAAGCTGGTTCCGGAGCTAAGACGTTTACCATCACAGCCCCCAAGGTGCAAACAATTAATAGTCCGCTCCAGCCGCTCCAGGGTGGCAAAACTCAAAGCCTCTCAATTCCAGCCCAAGGGATTCTACCCTGCACACACCCCCACTGTCCCTCCTCTCCAGGGACCCAGGAGTCTAGGCTTCCAGCTCCAGTCAAAATCCCAAGCATCTTTTTTTCCCTTTAAACCCCGAAAGAACAGACACACAATGGAATTTCTACTTTTTTATTCACTCCTCCAAAAAGCACCACAGGCCAACCCACCCTTGATTCACCTGCCTTCATGGTTTCCTACCTCAGTGGATACACGTCTCTCCATCATTATGCAGACAAGTATGAAACTCAGCTAAGGTAATGAGGCTTTTGTGCCTCTTCTGCTTCTGGCGATGGCAACGCCAAGATTCACCATACTTTTCCTTGAATTTCTGCCTTCAAGGGCCTGCCAGCCTGCAGGTGCCTTGTAGACACACCCTGATGGCAGTCATCCAAAAGGGAGCCTTAGTCTTTTCTGCTTGGATGCTCCCAGACAGATGCCTCACCAGCAACTTGCTGCCTCTACAGAGCCTAAAATTCAATCCCTTTAAAAGTCATGATTTAAAAGGCAACCACTCTAAAAGATAGTCGTGACACCCAAGAGTGCCAATATACAACTACATAAACACAATCAGCACACTCCACGACGGACAGCGACACGCGGAAACAAAACTGGGTCTTGCTTTCTCAGGTTTGATCTCAGGCATGATTCCCATTGGCATGAGGGAAGAGGGAATTTGGAACAGAGGCACGTAGAGAGCAGAGATGTCAGACGGGACCAAGTTAGAGATGGTGGCAAAGCAGCACGAAGAGAGGAGGGCACTCCGAGCAAAGGCATGGGGGTGAGGCTAACGTTCGGGCTCCCAGTGTGCCAGCTTCCAGGAGGGGCTGCAAGTTCGTTGCTGTGCACGAGACAGAATGCATGCACATACGTGCATACACTGAATTCTCACCATAACCCTGTGAGGTAGATGCCATTTGCTGAGTGACTTGCCCAAGGTCACCCCCATGGTCAGTCAAAGGGCTGTCTGACCCTAGAGCAGCGTGCACAGAGTTCTCTTTGATAATGGGAAGCGTTCTAGGGCAGTGCTGTCTAATACAGTGGCTACTCACCACGTGTGCCTGGTGCAACGGGGAAACTGAAGTTTACATTTTAGTTACTTCTGATTAATTAAAAAATTGCTACTCATCTCAGTTACCGGAAAACTATCCAATATAATTAGGACAACTTGGGTATATGAATTGACTTCTCCAAATATGAGTTTTCTGAAATCTAAATTGAGGTCAGATATTTCTGATGAAAATCCATCATCTGAATTGAGATGTGCTGTGAGAAATACACAGCAGGTTTCAAAGACTTAGCATCAAAAGAATGTGAAATATCTCATTAGTAGTTTCCTGTACTGATTACATGCTGAAATGATAATATTTTGGATATACTGAGGTAAAACATACTAGAATTAGTTTCACCTGTTTCCTTTTCCTTTTTTAACGTGGCTACTAGAAAATGTGAAACGACCCGTGTGGCTCACATCCTGTTTCTATTGGACAGCGCTGCTCTGCGCGTCTCCTGCTTCTGCACGCGGCAGGCAGGCTTAATGCAGGTGCTTGAACGCTGGACTTGAGGAGGGGACAGTGTTGTGCTGGGTATTACAGATACGGATGAGGGACATTCTCCTAAGGCCAGAAGAGCTTTGAGGACGATGCTTGGAGCCATTCAGTATAGAGCCAAATGCTTTATCCCCATCTTGGCCATCTCAACTTTGATGGGACAGATTGTGCCGGTGGTAGGAGTTCAAGGTAGACATGGTGGAACCGCCCCTCAGATTGGTCACCCTTGCCTTCAGCTGTCCAAGGAAACAGGATCTCGGAAGTGTTTATTGTTCTTGTCCAGCCCTTTCATTTCACAGGTGGGAAAAAGCAAAGAAAGGCACTGGCCCAAGTCACCTGGAGTGACAGTGGCAAAGCTGTGTTTGCTTCCCAGGTCCCCCGACCTCAGACAGGAGCTTCCTCTCCCATGAGATACTTGTTTCTCCCCCATCTCACACCTTTTCCCCGTCTTGTGGCAAGAGGCTGATGACCTAAATTCCAGCCCCAATTCTGCCACTGATTAATGAATTAAATATTTACTAAGGACCTTCTGTATGTCAAGCACTATTCTACGTGCTGGGGGTACAGCAGAGCACAGGACAGGTATGGGGATAATAGCCAATAGATAGGTAAATAAATAAATAAGGTAATTTTCTACAGTAATAATTGCTACAAGGAAAAATAACCGGCCAAGACAAATAATAGGGGTGGGGGTGTGAGCTACTTCAGTTACAGAGGTCAGGGAAGGCTTCTCTGAGGGGACACTTGAGCTGAGACTTGATTGACAAGAAGGAGCCAGTCGTGGGAAGATCTGGGAGCAGAGCATTCTAGGCAGAAATAACAGAAAGTGCAAAGGTCCTGAGGCAGGATCCCAGGTGGCCCACTCAAGCATCAGAAGGAAGATCAGGTTGATTGGGGGGACGGGAGGGGGCAGGAAATAAGAACAGGCAGGGGCCTTGCTGCGTGCTGTTGGGCCTAGAGCCTGCCCTCTCTGGGCTTTGCTCTCCCCATCTAACATAACAGGGATTCTGCTGGATGGCCTCTCAGATCCTCCCTTTCTGTTTTTCGGCATTGAAGAGTTCTGTGACCTGTGGCTTCTCCTCTACTTGTAGCTGGCAGCCTAGAACATTCCAGGCACTGTGGTTTCTGCCTTTGCCTCACTGTGGCACATTCCCACGGTCTGGAACACCTGCCCAGCTGCTCCGTGGGTCCCTTGCTCACTGTGGCATTCTCTGTGTCTCTCTCGGGGATACCTGAGGTAGCCAACACAGAAGCGTTGGGATCAGTGCAGCAATATGGTTGCTTTTCCCAAAAGGCAGGTGTATATAATACCAAGGTCAGAAAGGGTTAAGGTTTAATGACCAAGACCAAAAAAAGATAGAAACCCCTAAAGGAAAGAGGGACAGACGAACAGAGTCCCCAGAGAGCCCCGTAGTCGCTCAGCACCTGTAACATGGGGACTGTCATACCCCTTTCCAGTCCAACTCAGACAAAGGCAGCTAGGTGCCAGGGTCCAGACCCATTAGGGACTTTGGGGAGATACCTCTGAGGGAGGCGTTTCTGTCCTTCCACACCCAGAAGGCCTCATTCCTGGTCCCTGGCTACCCCCCAGAGCCCACCATGCCCAGAGCGCTTATTTCCTCTCATTTTTGTGGTACCATTCTCCCCACAACAACTGGGAAAGAAATCTGGGTCACCAGGCCCCTGGTGGAGCAACTTTTAGAGACCCCTCTATTCCCCAAGAGGAACCAAAGGTCTCCAGCTCTCTTACACAGCCCCCTATTCCCTCCTCTAGATGGAGACCTTCCATCACCCATGAATTAGGAATCAAGGTCCACAGCCCTCTTGGGAGATAGGAGTTCTGAGACTCCAGAGATCCTTCCTCCCCCCAATGAAAATTCAAAGCCCCCTTTATATGCAGGCCTATCCCCCCACCCCGCAGAAACCCAGACCTTATACCCCTTTGTGGCTCAGAAGCCCAAGGATTCCAGCTCCCTGGGGAACCCAGACCCCCTCCTCCATGCTAGAGTCCCCGGTGTGGTGGAGACCCCCTTCATCAGGAATCAGGGCTTCCACCTCCTCTCCCCCTGGAGGACTAGACACCTAATAGATCCAGTTTCTACTCTTTGGAGACCAAGATATATCTCCTTGGAGGAGTCCCAAACCCTCAACTCCCTTCAGGAGTTCAGGAGTCTAGGAGTCTGAGGGTCACACCCTCTGGTCCCCCAGAGAAATCAGGAGTCATGTCCCCCGAACTCTATTCCCCTTCAGGACCCAGGAATCCTGGTGACGAGAAGTCACACATTCCAACCGGTAGTCAGAACCCTCATCGCCTTCAAGCACCCAGGATTCTGAGTGGCGGCCCCCGCGCCCCACCCCACCCGCCCCCCGCCCCCCGCTCTGTGACCTCACAAGCCCAGACATCCCATACTAGCATGCCAGAGTCTGGATCACCACGCCCTCTCCCTCTTACGGCAACTTGCAGTCCTCAACCCCTGACCAAGCCGAGCAGCCGGGACACGGGGCACCCCGGAAGCCCCGGCCCTCAACCCACCCCTCACTGCGCGGGCACCTGCGGTGCCAGCACTGCTTCAGCGTCGGCCCGCATCTCATCGAGCGCCTGCAGCAGGACGCCGTGCGCCGCGCGGTAGCCCAGGCCCCCGGTGGCCGCCGCGCCGCCCGCCGGCCACAGGAAGGAGAGCGCGCCCAGCGCCGCGCCCCCGGCGGTGCCCTCGCCCGCCCACGAGCCCAGCCTCGCCTCCACTTCGGCGCGCGTCACCGGACCCGGGAAGCGTGTCCGCTCGGCCAGCTCCCCCGGCGCCAGGCCCAGCGCGCGCTCGCGTCGTGCCAGCGCCGCGGGTTCGAGCCCCAGCGCCCGCCGCCACTCGGCCAGCTGACCTCGCAGGAGAGCCACGTCGCAGGCCCAGCCCAGCCCTGGTACCGGGGCCGCCGCCGCCGCCAGGCTAGCCAACAGGGCCGGCCGCCACGCCCCGGCCCGCAGCGCCGCAGCCTTGGTCCGGGCCGCGCGGGGAGACGCGGGTGGCAGAGCCAGAAGCAGCGCCCCGGCCTGGGCCGGGGGTAGCGCACGCCGCAGCCACTCGCACAGCCCCGGGAGGCCGCCCGGCCGCAGCGGGAACACCGGCGGCGGCGCCTCCTCCAGCACCTCCCACGTCTCATCTTCTGGGCTCAGTGCGGCCGCGCGCTCTGAGTCCCCGCTGCCCGGTTTCTTCACGCCGACGCCAACCGGCTGCAAACTCTCGCTGCCTGCGTCCTCTGAACCTTCCCCACTGCCTGCTTTCTGCGATCCAGGGCCACGTTTCTCCCTCCCCTCACTGCGTGCATTCTTAAACCCCCCTCCGCCTGCGTTCTCTAAGCTCTCGCTGCTCTTTTCCTCTTCGTCCAGGGACTCCGGATCCTCGCCCTCGCCGTCTGTTCGCACGCAGACCAGCGGCGTATCTGGTAGCACCAAGGGCCGGACTTGGGCCCAGTCCTTCTCAGTGGGGGCCCCAGGGGTGACGAGGATGAGAGCGTCGTAGTGGGTTGGGTGGGGGGCGGCAGCAGTGCCCGCGGAGCCCAGAGGCACGGTCCAGAGCACCACATTGGGGCGCTCTGGGGCCGGGTAGGGCATGGGCTCCGCGGGCGCCGAAGCAGGCACCGCACCTGGGTCGTCAGGATCTAACCCGAGTAGCATGTTCAGCACAAGGCTCACGTCAGCCCTACCGGCCACGGCCAGGTCCAGGCGCGCGCTGCCCAGTCGCTCCAGGCCGGCCCGAACCCATGACAGCGCCGCCTCCAGGCCACCCGTCTCGAAGGCCTCGCGCACAGCCTCCAACTCTGCAGCGCCCAGCACCTCGAAGCCATCCTGAGCCGGTGGCAGGAGCCTGCGGGGAAAGGGAGGGATGGGGTCAAGGGCAGAAGAGGGGCTAAATGCTGGCGAGCTGGGCTAGGGGGACAGGACTGGGCTATGATGACAAGGCGGAGCTTTCTGAATAATCAGGAAAGGGAGGGGCCAGACTAATGGCACAGAAACAGAATCTGAGGCTATGAAGAAAAGGGAGGGGCTTAAAGAAGGGGTGGGACGGCTGGATTGAAATCAGAAATCAGGTTGCCAACAGAGTCGAAAATGGGGACCCGGCTAAGCCTTCCCCGGGGTTACACTCTGCGGGAGCGGGTCTTTTCGAGGGACCTGCAGGATTAAGAAGAAGCCCTGCTGGGCGGGGCAAAACTCATAGAGAGTGGAGTTTAGAGCAAAGAAAGAATGGCGACTGTATTGAGGACTAAACGAAAATCGAGCCCTATTCGACAAGGGCAAGGTCACCAAGGGCGCTCTTTCCTGAGACTAGGAGTTAGGAGGGCTGTAAAGACAGGTGAGGGGAGAACCCTCATCTACTAGTTCTTACCAAGGGTGTGTGGCTAAGGAAGGAAGACGAGTGGTGGGCCTGGGGGAGAGGCTACCCCTCCCTGAGCCTCGTTTTGACGTCTATAAAAGGAGGCCGCTTGCGGTTGGGGGAGAAAATTCACGAGGTAGCCAGCAAGTGGACACAGAAGCGAAAGGGGATTAGAAAAAGGAAGTGGGGGAGGGCCCCCGAAACGACAAAGCTCGCTTAGGGTGTGGCTCTCCGGAGACTGGGGTCGCTTGAGAACCAAGCAGATGGTGAGCAAGAGGGTTAAGACTGGAGAGTGGAGTCTTCGGGTAAAAGCTTCGCGGGGATCACCAGCTTGCCTGGAGAGAGTGAGCCCTCGTTCACACTTTGGCCTGGGGGCAGTGTTTGGGCGCTAGGTCCCGGTCCCTCCTAGAATTCTCGCGAGGGAGCGGGGGCTCATGACCTCAGAGCGCTCGCAGGAGGCGGAACCTGGAATGACAGGTCCAGACTTCTAGCTGACCCTTGGCCTAGGTGATAGAAAAGGGTCAAGCACAGAGCGCTAGTTTGAGGTGGAACCTCGTGGACCTCAAAACCTGCGCTGAGGGTCGGGATTTGGACGAGGGAGCAGGGCTTTCAGCAGATATCCCGTTAAGGTTGGCCCCAAACTCGCTGAGGGCGGGGTCTCGCAGACCTCAAAGAGCACCTTAGGGGTGGGAGGTACAGACTAAATAAAGCACCAGTCCTCTCCAACCCACCCTGAAACGCCGCGCTCACCTCTGCAGCGCCTCCGCCTGGCTCCGCAGCGCCGCCCGCAGGCGCTCCAGCTCCTCGCAGCCGTCGCTGCCGCGGCAGTCGGTCTGTAGCACAAAGAGAGTCGCGGCGCCCAACCCGGCGCTGTCCAGCCAGGCTGCGGTCTGATCCCGAGCCTGGGCTACATGCTGTGACTCCTCGGGACGAAGGTTCCGCACAGCCAGCAGGGGTGTCCCTCGGGCCAGGGCGGCCCGCGCTGCCTCCCCCAGCGCTGGGGCCAAGGGTTCCTCATTCCCCTCGGGGCCGGGCAGCACCAATACCAGCACGTTGGCTTCCGCCGCCCAGGGCCCCGGCGCTGCGGGTGGGCAGCTCAGCTCGCCCAGGAAGAGGCCTGGGCTTGCAGCTCTCAGGCTGGGGAGCCCGGAATCCGGCCGGCCGTCGGGGATCTCTACCGTCTCCACATCCTTGTCGCACAGCGCTGCGATCACAGCAGACTTTCCCGAGCCCGGAGGCCCCAGGAATAAGACGGTCACGTCACCCCGCGGCGGAGGCATGGCTGGAAAGTGGGGACAGAGGAAGACCCGGGTCACGGAGCACCCAACCTTCTTCTTTCCTAGCTTCCCCACTCTGGTCTCAGACTTCAGCCTTTTACCCTGACCACTTCTTTCCTTCTCGGGTATCACTGCCAGGCACCTAGAAATCTGGCGTCCAGGCCCTATTCCCCAGGGACCTGGGAGTCCTGTCCGCCCTCTTTCTGGATGCGTTTCCCTTTACGCTTCAAAAACTCAGAAATCGCCCTCTAGCCCCCTCCTCCCTCAGGGACACAGATGTTTTTACCCCTCACTCCTCCCTTCCAAATCACCGACCGAGCAAACAGCCGGCACACGGGACTGCGCAGTCGGTAGCAGTCGGTCAGCCGCTGAGAAGCTCTGCCTCTGGGGTCCGAGGACGGAGGCCCATGAGGCTAAAGCGCCGGGATTTGGGGATGTCCAGACCCTTTCCGGGGGCTCTAACCTGACGTCATTCCTTTTAGGAGGGGGTGTGTCTCGAAAGCGTAACCTCGGGGACAGGGCCCTTTGCAGCGCCTGCGCAGAACGGCCGAAGGGCACTCTCTCTCCTCGGCGGTCGCCGAACCTTGAACAATGAGGGAGCCAAAGCGCGTGCGCGCCAGGAGCGCCTAACACACTTGCGCAATAAGCTTAGGTCTGCACTGCAAAGGAGGCTTGCAACGTCATCATTACGCACCCCAGTGCAGAGAAGGACCCCTCCCATTATTTTGAGGACCGGGTTGGCGCGACTGAATCACTGCAGTCGGATGGCAACCCGAGATCTGGGCTTCGAAAGGCTCGTCAGGAGAAAGGCCGTGGAAACCGCCGGGACTTTGAGACTCGGTGGGCCCTACCCCGCTTCACTTCGGGTGACGGCGCTGTGACGAGCAACTGACAGGCGCAACGAAAGGCAGCCCTCTGCTGTCTGGAGAAAAGCAGAGGCCTGGGCTACCAGCCTCGGGAGGGAGCCGAGGGCAGTGTTTGGGGCAGCGGGTCACAGCGGCTGAAAGCGCGCGTGGGAAGCGGGGGTTCTAGGTGCAAGAAGAGTTTCGGGATGTCAGAGAAAGATGTCTCCCGGAAGGAGGCAGGCTAAAGCGTGGGTACCACTACCTGCCTCAAGACAGGTGGGAGAGAAGGGGATGAGGCTGTTGTCAAAGATCCAGGGTCCCGCGCTCTGAGTTCAGGGAGTTAGTTTGATGTAGGAGGCATAGGTCAGAGGTCTCACGCAAGTGAGAAGGCTCTAAGGGGAGTCACAAACCGGGGGAGTTGAATCTTCTGGGAGGACTGAATCTTCTCTAGCGAGCTGCTCTATCAGGTTAGAATTCAAGGAGATGTTATCTCGTGGGGGGTCGGCCAAAGGCTGGCAAAGCCAAGCCTGTCAAAGGTCATAGGATTGGCGGGCCCTCTAAGACTCGCTGTAGATAAGCGACTTCACTTGATTTACTGTTCTGTCATGCGTGCTCCTCTCTTGACCAGAGGGGTCTCAGTCACCATGGAGGACCGGCACCCCAAAGAGACCATGGAGCAGCAGGATTCGTCCAAGGAGAGAAGTCCCCAAAGTCCGGGAGGTGACATCTGTGAGTACGGCTGACCAGAGATGGGTGGGGTGCAGGAGCTGTGATGCTAAAAGGATTTCTATAGCATTTCAGTGTCCGGAGCGTTGCGGGCATTTGCCTGTCGGGAAGGAGCTGTTAATGGTCCCTGAGCTGCTCTCCCAGGCCCTGCTACTCCCCACCCCTACCCTTATTACCCTCAGACGTACCCATCCTGCTCTATCCACATAAGCATGAATGGGATGCAGTTCAGGGGCACAGAGTGGCATCCAGAGAGGCTTGGGGTGGGAGAGGTGGCTGGGAAAGGGCAGAGAGCCCCAGTCCCAACTCTGCCCCAGACTTTCAGTGTGACTTGGGCCTCCGTTTCCCTATCTGTCAAAAGGGCTTGCCACTATTCACCTCATGGGGCTGGCTGGTATGGGGTTTAGCGGCAGAAAAGGGGAAAGCTTAATGTTAATGAAGGTAGCCAACTTGACCTAGGATAATAGCAACAGCTTCTACTGAATGCTTATTATGTGCTAGGTGCATTCTAAGAGTTTAACGTTTGTTATCTCATTCCGTCCTCCTAACAGACTCTGTGAAATTGGTAATTATCACTTTCACATGAGGGAACCGAGGCAAAGAGAGGTTAAGTATTTATAACGATGAAAGCCACAGTGTCAATGCTCTCCAGCCAGAGACCACCAGGAACACACCTGGAGTTGACCAAGTTGGGCTTATTGCTCACTGCGCTGAGGAAGCACACATACCGTGGGGCATCTCAGTAATAAGAAAGGACTTATTACAGGATTTAGGCTGTGGTAGGTGATTTGGGGAAGGGTTGAAGAAAGGGGTTTTGCTGTGGATGGATGCTGCCAGGAAGCAGGGGCAATTACATGGCTGGCTATCTTAATACCTAGGAGGGAGGAACAAAGCAAGGCTCCAGGTGTAATTGGCAAAGCAGCAGCAGGCACTCATATTAGCCACGACGGTTGGGGGGGGTGTCTGGCCATTTTCGTGGCTTGGACAGTGTTCACGTTTTGTCTGTGTTTAGAAGGCATCGTGGCATGGTCTGGTCTGATTCGTCTCAGTCACAGCATGGCCTTGTCTGGTGATGTTCTGTGAAATCGTTTAGGCTGAACAAAACACCGAGGCCCAGCTGTGAGTGCCAGGCCAGCTCCTAGCTGTGAGTGCCAGGCCAGCTCCCAGCTGTGAGTGCCAGGCCAGCTCCTAGCTGTGGGGCTTCTTTTCTGTCTCAACAATAATTATTGCAAACCATTGTGTAGCACTGTTCAAGCACTTTTTATACGTTAATTCGTTTATTCCTTACAGCAGCCCTATAAAGTAGATACTGATATGGTCATTACCCCATTTTCCAGATGAAAACGCCGTTTCTACTTGCCTCGGAAGTGGTAGAACCAGGAGTCAGTTCCAGGCAGTCTGGCTCCAGAGGCTGTGCTCTAATCACATGGCTCTGTAGGAAGGGCAGACTCCCTGGGTTCCAGTCCCGACTCCGCCATTTCATTTCCTAGCTTCATGACTGTCGGCAAGTTACCTAACCTTTTTGAGCCTCAGTCTGCTCATCCGTAAAACAGGTCCAGTAAGTCTGCTGTCCAGGCCTGGCATAGCACCTGGCACATAGTAAGCCCTGCATGCTCACTGTTGGTGCGATTCTGAGGCTGGGAGAGGCCCTCGAGACTCCTGCTGGCCTCCCCCAACCTCTCCTCATGTCCCTCAGGCCACTTGGGGGCCCTGCAGTGCACCCGCTGCCTCATCACCTTCGCAGACTCCAAGTTCCAGGAGCGTCACATGAAGCGGGAGCACCCAGCGGACTTCGTGGCCCAGAAGCTGCAGGGGGTCCTCTTCATCTGCTTCACGTGCGCCCGCTCCTTCCCCTCCTCCAAGGCCCTGATCACCCACCAGCGCAGCCACGGTCCAGCGGCCAGGCCCTCCCAGCCGGCTGCGCCCACCACCATGCCACCCACCTTCCCCTGTCCTGACTGTGGCAAGACCTTTGGGCAGGCCGCTTCTCTGAGGCGGCATCGCCAGGCGCACGAGGCCCACCCCCTTCCTGGCCCCTTCGCCTGCACTGAGTGCGGGCAGGACTTTGCCCAGGAAGCAGGGCTGCATCAGCACTACATCCGGCATGCCCGGGGGGAGCTCTGAGTGTGGCTCCAGCCCTCCCTAGGGCAATGGAAGCTCTGTGGCTGGTGGGACACCCATCTGATATGGGACGGGAGGGATTTACTTTCCTCCATGGAAAGGCAAAGGACTCCTGATCAATAGGACCCAGAAGATGCTCATTTAGAGCTTAAGTCTTTGGAGGACACAAAAGCCTTCAGGGAAACAGTAAAATCAAACAACAGTGAGAAAGAAAGAAAGAGGGCAATTCGTTATTTGTATCTTCCTCGTTCCCAATGAAATAGTGTGAAATCATGACTAGCTGCAGGTTGTGCTATCACCATTAATTCTTCCCAGATGGAGGCAACGGGGCTGCAAGAGCCAAGGGCCTGGATCTGGGCCTGAATCGGGGAGGGAAAGTGAGGTGTTGCCTGCCTGTAATGCCACCGAATGGGTCCCACACGTGGAGCACCTTGAGCCTTTGGGGATGGGACAGCAAAGTCGGAGGCTGCACTGAGTCACGTGAGGGTTGCAATCTGGACCCTTGTCTCTTCCCACCCCCTGCCAGCCTTTCCCACTCAAGGTGGGGCCGTGGCATTGGATGGCTCTGCCTTCCTCCTCCCCAGATAATTTATTGTTCATTTTAATAATTTTATGTACCATTCTGGTCACGGAATATTTTTTGTATGTGTAGGTGAGACGGCATGAATAAACTAACAGAAGTAGTATCTGAAAACAAAAGGTCCATAATAAAATGTCTAAACAAGGAACTCTGGCTTTTGAGCAGGAATTCCCAGAGAACATAAGGGCATGGGGAGTGGGGAGCTCAGGGCAGACCTGGCCTGGCCCTGTGGGGAAACTGGTTTGGAGTCAAACAGAGATACCTTCTGTTTCCTGTTGTATTTGGCCAACACAGGGAGATATTCCATTAAGATCCTATTTTCAGCTCTTGAAAGACCCAACCCTGGGCTGAGTTCCACTGGACCAGTTCTACTCCCTTGCATTACCTGCTCTGCCCCTAGAGACGACGGTCGATGCCCTGCATACAATAATCACAGCCCTGCATACAATAATCACCGACTCTGTTTGAATTGAGGGATATTTTGAAAGCCCACAGGTGAGATGGATATGGTAGAGACTGAGCTACCTCCCACTTTTTAGCTAGGCACATGGTGGCTACAAAGACAGCCTTTCCCAGATTTTCTTGCAGCTAGATGTGGCCATGTGACTGAGCTCTGACTAAATTCCTGGGTAGAGTCCTCAAGCTTCAGAAAGGAACCTGCCTTTCCTTGACCTTCCCACCTGGAACGTGGACATGGTATCCAGCCATCTTGGACCATGAGAGCGACAACAGGATGGCGGAGCAAGAAGACAGCAGGGGGCTGGGTCTGCTACCACTACTGCTCCCCCCACCCTTCCAGTCTGTCTACTACAGACCACCCCCTGTGTATATGTAAGTCAGCTTACATCATTCCTCATTCAAAACCCTCCAACAGCATCCCATAAGTAACATCCAAAGGCCTTACCCAGGCCCACAAAACCCAACAATGACTAGGTTCCAGCCCATTAAGCAATCTCAACTCCCTCCCGGTTCTGTCGTTTTCACTACACTCTAGCCACACATGCCAGGCTGGCATCTGCCTCAGCCTTTGCACTTGCTGTTCCCTCTTACCCAGAACTTTGCAAGGCTTCCTCCTCATTATTCAGGTCTCAATACCTGCCACTTTGGAGAGGTCCTCCTTGGCTAAAACAGCACCTCCAACCCTTAGCCTGATTTAGTTTATTCCCAGCACTCTTCAACACCTGGAGTTATCACAGCTGTGTTTCTGTCATCATATGTGTCCTTCCTCTAGAACCCAAGCTTCTGAGGGCAAGTGGGTTGTCTTCCTCATTGCTTCATCCCCAGCACCTAGGACAGCGCTTACCATGGACGCTCAAGAAAGAACTCCTTGACTGCGCCCAGTCGTTTACCTATTTCTCAGCCTCAGCCCACCCTTCCACACTGCTCCATGAGGCTGGGCTTTCTGCAGCTATGCTTCCCAGACTCCCTGGAAAGCTGGCTTCCTTAAGTTCATCCCACAAGAGGTATGGGAAGAAGGAAGGTCGGAAGAGGGGAGAAGGGACTCACCTTGCCTTAGGCTCCTGCTGGAACCCCTCCCAGCAGCAGTTCGGGCTCCGTCGCCTTTCTACACTCTCAGCACAAGGCACCGTGCCCCCCTTGGGGTTTAAGCAGCAGCTGTGTGGTAGCCAGTCCCTGCACCAGCCATACACGTGGCGTGGCCTGCCCACCAAGCTCCCACTGGGTTCTGATCATCGCGCTTCTCCTTCTGCATCCCAGTCCTAGAGGTGGGAGCTTCTTGCAGACACTAATTTCTCAGTTACCTCACTTTTCCATGTTTGTGCTCTCAGTGTTTTAGTACCTGTGTAACCAATTCCCGGTACTGAGTCCTCTGGAATTCCTAGCTTGGTCTCCATACCCTGCCTGGGCCCTGAAGAACTGAATGACCCCAGGAGACCCCAGGAGATTCCCAGTCTCTCGTGATCCTTAGGAACTTCTAATGATGAATGGATAATCTACTTCTGTGCTTAGAAAGCCCCGTCTGAGGGCAGAAGAGGGCTTAGGCACGCTGCTCCAGGAAATAAGATGCATCCATGTGGTTTTAATGAGCTGTGAATTTCTGCTGTGATGATTCTGAGATTCAATGATGCTAAGCTATAGTGGTTATGAAAGTCTCCAAGAGTGCATAAGATTCTGAGCTTCTACGATGAAAAGTATGGGTTTTGAAAGATGCTTTGGTCAAGGTCCTGTAACAGGCGTCAGAATGTAAATGCTCTTTGGGGCCAAGCAGGTACCATCAATCAGTGAGGCAAGCAGGGTGTAAGGGGTCCAGATGCCAGGCAGTGGGGACTGGGCATGCGGGAGGGAATGCCCCATTAATAGGTGACCCCTACTCAGCTCCAGCAAACTACTGCCCCATGGGATTGTGGGTTCAGCAATCAATCTCACAAGGAAGCCAGAAACTTCCATTGTTGTGTCAAACCTGCCCATTTTTAAATGTTGGTAACCAACGTGATTTAAAAAACCTCAATAACTCTGGAGACCAAATACACTCCTGCAAGTCGGATGGTGGCTGTGGACAGCCATTTCTGGTGTGTGGCTTAGTGGCTAAGAATGGGTGCCTTAGTTCTAGTTGTCTGGATTCAAACCTGGCCTCTGCTTCTTCCCAGCTGTGTGACCTCTAGAAGATTACTCAACCTCTCTGTGCCCTGGCTGTAGCAGTTGTAAAATGGTCGTGATAGCAGCCCCTACGCCTCTAAGAATTATGATGACGACGACACACTCGGAGAGAAAGTCAGAGTCGGTATTAATGGCCTGTGTGACCCGGTCCTCTTCCCCTCTGCTTTTCTCTGCCCGTCTCTGCTCTTGTGTTCCCACCAGTCTTCCCCCTGCCTTCCTCAGCAACAGCCTTGTGGCCCCAAGTGCTCTTCAACAAACATCCCAAGCAGGTTCCACCTCAGGGCCTTTGCACTTGCTGTTCCCACAGCCACATGGCCCGTTCCTCCTCCTCTAGATCTCTGCTTTGATGTCACCTTTTTAGTGAAGCCTTTCCTGACTACCCCGTTTGAAACTGCTTCACACACACACCCATTTGAAACTGCTTCACACACACACACACACACACACACACACACACACACACAAGCCTCCCCATCCCCCTTCTCTTTTCCTCCACAGCACTTACAACCTTCTAACATTCTAAGCGTTTTACTTAAATATTCAAGTATCTGTTTTCCCCTTTATAATATAACCTCCGCAAAGGCAGGGATTTTTGTTCATTGTGTTCACCACCCTACTCCCAGCTCCCCAAACAGTGCCTGCATCTCCTAGGTATTCAATAAATCACTGCTGAATGAATGAGTAATAAGTAACAGTCCCTACCTCATAAGGATCCGATGTGATCGTCCATATAAAGCGCTTAGCCCAGGGCCTGGTCCGCTGTGAGCCATTATGGTAATTCAGGTTCTATTCTTGAAGGTTCTTAGTTGCCAAGCTTCTATGAGTTAACACATGTAAAGCGCCTTAGAACAGAGCTTGGCACACAGTAAATGCTCAGTAAATGGTAGCTATTATTATAATTAGGCTTCTATTTTCAAAGGAGCTTCAGTGCCAAGCTTCTGTGAATTAGTACTTCCCATCTCAGAGCAAGAGCCTGTGTTTCCACAAGGCTGTAATAAGCTGACCCTCTGTTCCCCTCTGACCTCATCCCTCCAGCCCTGCCATCCCTTATCCCCTCCAGCCACTCTTGCCTAATTGACACGTGGGGCAGGCTCCTGCCCCACCCCCCCTCGCCTAGATCGCTCTTCCCACCCGTGTGCCAGGCTCCCTCCCTCCCTTTCTCAGGTCTCTGCTTAGGTCTCTGTCACCTCCTCAGGGAGGACTACACTATTTAAAACTGCACCCTCTTCCAGAACTGTTCCCCCTTCTCTTCTCTATTTTTCTCCACAGCACTGACATCCAGCACTTACATCCAGCATATGTTACATCCTTCTTGTTTACTTTTTGTTTACTATCTGTCCCCACCGGTGGTCCCCTCCCACCTCCATGTAAGCTCCACGAGGACATGGATTTTATTTTATTCACTGGTGTGTTCCCAATGCTTAGCACACAGCAAGTATTCAAAAGATATTTGTTAAATGAATTAATGGATCACAGTCCCTACCTCGCAGAGTTATTCTAAGGACCCGATGATCTCATGTAAATAAAATGCAGCACTCTGTAAGTGCCGGGAAAATGGCAGCTGTAATTATAATTAAAGTTCTATTTCTGTAAGTTCCTAGATGCACAACTTCTCTTAGTGAATATACATAAAGCTCTTGGACTGGCACTTGGCACCCAGGAAGCACTCAGGAAGCAGAGCTGTGATTATAATTAAAGTCCTCTTTGTGAAGGTTCTTGGATGAAGTGGCAGAGAGCACGAGCTGTCTTCCACAAACCATTTTCTGGGCACTTGGCTAGACCGCCTTTCCCAGACTCCCTTGCAGCAGGCTGTGGCCATGTGACTAATCTCTCAGCAAAGGGACGTAAGTGGAAGCACTGTGTGCCCCCTCCAGGCTGGGGCTTCTAAGAGAACATGTGTACCTGTCCAGGCTCTCTTTCCTCTTCCTCTGGCAGAACCCAGGCCATGGACACCCAGCCATGACCATGTGAATGCCAAAAGGGTTACAGGATGGCCTGGGTCCCCAAAACACCATATGGAGGTTACCTGCCAACCTGAAACACCCATCCTGGACTATGACGTGAGCAAAAAATTCTGTTGTGTGTGAGCCTGTGCATCACGGGGTCCATGATGAAATAATGGGAACCACACTGAACATATGCACTTAGTAAACGTTAATTATCTCAGCAACAACGATCCTTAGCTTTCCCCAAGGAGCCCAGGGATGGTGAGGTAAATGCCCAGGCGCATGCCTTATACCCTCGAGCTTACACACACGCACACACACACACACACACACACACACACACACACACAGACCTCAAATGCACACTCGGCCGACACAGAATTTGGCTTTTATTCTGGCTTTCACACAACTACTGCTAAGACGACACAGATCAGTGGGACCCCATCCCCGTGACCACTGCGACCACCCCGATGTCCTCAGCCCCCTCCTCCCACCCCACCCGCCCCACCCCTCTGCCGAGCTCCCTAGGTCTGGGCGCTCCCTACACCTCACCCCGGGCATGCAGCATGAAGTGCCCGTGCAGCTCCCCGAGGTTGTCAAAGGAATCCTCGCACTCGGTACAGTGGTAGGCGCCGCCCTCCTCCTCCTCCTCCTCCTCCCCCTCCTCCCCCTCCCCCTCCTCCCCCCTCCCAGCTGGTCGGCCCTCCCCAGCCCGAGGCGGCTCCTCCTCTTCCTCCCCGAGGGCCCTGCTTTCAGGAGCTGGCGCTTCCTGGGGGGCTGTAGCGGGGCAGCAGAGCCGGCAAGGTGGGGTGCCCGGTGGGGCCTCCCCAAGGGCGGAGCGGCCACAGAGCTGGCAGGGCTGGGCTGGGGGGCCCGGGAGCTGGGCTGCGCGGGGGGCCCGGCGGGATGGGCCCCCCCGGCCCCCCCCCAGGCGCTGCTTCACCTTGTAGCCGGGGTCATATTCGGGGTCATCAGTGGTCTCCTCTTCCTCCTCCTCCTCATCTTCTTCCTCTTCGGAGTCCGGCTCTGAGAGAGTATATTCGGAGTCAGAGGAATGCTCGGGGCCTACAGGGGGCGGAAGAGGAAAGACGGCGGCATCAGGGACAGAGCGCTGTGCCCGGCTGTCCCCTCCCTGAGCCCCGTTCAGACTCGCCACAGTATGGAGAGGGCAGCCCGGGCCTGACCCTGCTCTCCCCACAGATGGATCCCCATCGTGCAGAACAGGCAGCATCTGTGTGTCAAGCAAATGAACGTCTTGCAAGAACTGCATCTTAGGGGTTTAAAAAGAACAAAGTAGGAGACGTAGGAGTAATAAAAACAACAATGACAGTGTCCACTACTATTTTAAGAACCTTGTTTTTTATATATTAACTCAACTAATCCTTACAACAACCCTGAGGGAGGTACTATTATCCCTAAGTGACAACTGGGGAAACTGAGGCACAGAGAGGTTAGGTGACTCACTGGCCTCCAGTCACACAGTTAAACAGGGAAAAAGCTAAATGTGGGTGATGGCCTACACTGGATCATTTTAGGGAGACAAACACGTGAACAGGTACTTCAGCAAATTAAAACACATACACATACTCTGATATATGTGGTTTTATATATATATATATATATATAAAAATATCTAGTTAAGTGAGTTAAAATATTTATTTGTAAATATAGATATATTACTGTGATTTCATGGGTATGAAGGACATGCCTAGGACAAGTTTAGGTTTAAAAAAAAATGGAAAGTCACTGTACAGGAAGGGTGACACCAACAACTGTTATGGGGGGTGTGGAGAGGGGAGCCCCCACTACGGCAGCAGCAAAATACTGGCTTCTACAGACGTGGTGGCAGAAGCCTGCCCAAAGCATCTCCTAGGACTGTGGCAGCCTAGCCCTGTACCCACTGGCCCCCCTTCCTCAGTTTCCCCCGGCAGCGTACAGGGACCCCGTTACCACTGAGCCAGCCCCACTGCCTCCTCACGTCCCTCAACTCCCTGGGCCGGCACCCACCTCAGGGCCTTTGCCACCCTTTCTGCAGAGGGACTAAGGCTTGATCCCTCCCCTCTGTCACATCTCTGCTCAAGTGTCACTTCGGTGAAACCCTGGTCAGTCCGTCTAACCAGCAATCCCTCCCTAGCACTCTCTACGCCCCTAACTCTGCTTTATTTTTCTCCTCAAGGTATTGTATGTAACACCTGCTTATACGTTTACTGCCTGTCCCTGAAAGCAGGGACTTCGTCTGGCTCATGACTGCGTCCCTAGCATCTAGAACACTTTCTTTGTGCCTGGCATTCAATTTGACAGGCTTTTCTGCGGCTTTCACACATGCCATTCCCTCTGCTGGGAATGTCTCCCGTTATCCTTTAAGGACCCAGAAGGAGGCTTTCCTCCCTGATGAGAGCATCCCAGATCTCCTAATCCCAGGCAACCGGTCACTTGCTCTTGCCCCCTGGCTGTCCTAGCCCTGAGCCTGCAGGGCTGTGGTCACCTGTGTTCCAGTCCTTTCCCCACCAGACCAGCGGGCAGGCCTGGTCTGACTCAGCGCTGGGTCCCCAGCATCACCCAGCTCAGAAGAACAGGTTATGTTTGCTGAGCGTCCGTCCTTCCCTGCAGCTCTCTCTGTTTCTTACTTGTTCCTGCCTCTGTCCTGCTGTCTGTCTGCCATTTAACAAATGTTTCCCGAGGCCTTGTCGTGGGCTGGTCCCTCTGCCTGGAATGCTGTTCCCCCCTCCATCTGCCTGGCAATCTCCTACTCATCCTTCAGGGCCCAGCACAGGCTCTGTCCTCCATGAAGTCACCACCCCTGATGACTTCAGGCAGAGGGTCTCTCCCCTGTTCCCTCCACCCTGGCTCCATCTCCCCTGTCACTGTCCTAAAGGCTGTAGCCATCTGGGCCCCAGAATGTCTCCTCCTTCAGGCTAGAAACCCCTCAGGGGCAGCTCTGACTCATCTGGGGTCTCCAACGGGATGTGTGGATTGAATGAACAAGGGTGGCCCTGCTCTCCCTCCTCCAGGCCTTCGCGTCTGCTCTTCTCCCACCTGGAGCGACCCTCTCCTTCTCGACTAGCAAACTCCTGCTCCTCTTTAAGGCGCCAGCTCCACGTCACCTCTTCTGTGATGTCCTCCCTGACTGCCCAGGCAGTCAGTGCCTCTCTCGTCTGGGGTCGCCCTGCCCCCTAACACACCCTGACAGCCTGGACAGTGACGGTCTGGGTCTGGAGACTGGAGACTCCTGGAAGGCAGGACCTGGGTCTGACCCATCTCTGTGTCCCTAGCAATGCTGAGCATAAGGCAGCCTGGGGAGGCATTTGCTGAACGGCTGCAAACCACAGACGAAACACCTCCAGCTTTGAGCTGGGGCTCCACCCCTCTTTCTCCTCCCATCTCTGACTTCACACCACCTCCCCTCCAGAGTCTTCACTGCCCACTGCGACTTCATGAAGTTGGCCTGGGAAAGGCAATCAGGTGGTCACCCACGGCTACCAGGCCTTTTGTGTCCACCGTGACTTCCTGGACCATAGGCCATTTTGCAGCCACCCTGCCTTCTCCACCTGCGAGAGCCCGGAAGCCCAGCGTGTCTCCGGCGTCCGTGGGACCCTCGATGCCCGCAGCGTCTCCCAATCCTCCTGCCTCCTTGAAGACCACCAAATCGGCAATGCCCAACAGCCCCTCTGTGTCCACCAAACCTGTGACCGCCCCTAACTCGGTCACGAGCCCAAGCATTTCCGAATCTCCCAAATGGGCAAGTACAAAGGCAGCCCCTTCTAACCAGCCCAGCAACAAGTCCCGAGCCCACGGCACGGCCCGAACGCCTAGCAAAGCTAGCACTGACATCAGGACCAGCAAAGCCAGCAAGGCCAGCAGGGTAAGACGCCCCCGGCGCAGAGGCACCCACAGCCGAGGCAGAACTCCTGGCAGAAGGGGAAGCCACAGCTCCAAGAGGTCAGCCAACAGGGCCAGCACTCCCAGCAGGATAAGAACTAATGGTGCCAGACCAGGTATGCCCAGCAGGGTGAGAACTCCTACTTCCCAGCGAAAACAGAGTTGGAGAAAGAGTTACAGCCAGCTGAGAACCAACAACCGGGAAAGGAGTGACAGCCAGCCTAGAAATGTGAGCAGAAAGAGGAGCTACAGCCTCCCAGGAGCCTTGGATATGGGGAAGAGCTCCAGCCTGGCTGGAACCCCCAGTAGGGCAAAGACAGGTACTTCTGTCTAGAACTCCCTTCGAGGAGAAAGGTCACTGCCCGTCTCCAGCATCATCGAGGAGGGTGAAGAGTTATAGTCAGAAGATCACCCCCAGCAAGGGATGGAGTTACAGCCCTACTGAAGTGTTCAGCAGGGCCGAGAGTTACAACCAAGGTAGTGCACCCAGCAGGCCCCAAAGTCACAGCCAGTCTAGCACCCCCAGCCAGCCCCGAAGTCGCAGCTGGTCTAGAATGCCTAGAAGGGCAAGAAGTCGCAGTAGGGAGAGGGCCCACAGCAGGGTGAGAGGTCACAGCTGGAAGAGAAATCATAGCAGGGCAAGAAGTCGTACCCGGAAGGGAACTCCCAGTCAGATGGGAAGACACAGCCACTCTAGAATCTGCAGCAAGGGGAAAACTTATAACCAATTTAGAACCCCCAAAAGGGAAAGATGTTACAGCCAGTCTAGAAGCCCCAGCACAGAGAGAGAGGTCACAGACGATCTAGAACCCACAGCAAGGAGAGAGGTCGCAGACGGTCTAGAAGCCCCAGCAAGGAGAGAGTCCACAGCCGATCTAGAACACCCAGTAAGGAGAGAGGTTGCACCCTGTCCAGAACCCCCAGTAAGGAGAGCGGTCGCAGCCACTCCAGAACCCCCAGCACGGAGAGAGATTACAGCCAAACTAGAATCTCCAGCAAGGAAAGAGATCACAGCCACTTCAGAACCTCCAGCAAGGAAAGAAATCACAGCCAATCTAGAACCCTCAGAAAAGAGAAAGATCACAGCCAATCTAGAACCTCCAGTGAGGAGAGAGATCACAGCCAAACTAGAACCTCCAGCAAGGAAAGATATTACAGTCGATCCAGAACCCCCAGAAAAGAGAGTGCTCTCAGACGATCTCCAACCTCCAGCAAGGGGAGAGATCTCAGCCAAACTAGAACTTCTAGCAAGGAGAACGATTACAGCCCATCTAGAACTCCCAGAAAGAAGAGAGACCACAGCCGATCCAGAACTTCCAGCAAAGAAAGTGATCACAAGGAGAGCAATCCCAGCCAATCTATAACCCCCTGAAGTCTCAGCAGGAAGGGATCCCCTAGCAGGGCACAGAGTCCTAATCAGAACAGAAAACCTAGCGAGATAAGGAGCCACTCCCCGTCAAGATTTCTCAGCGGAGCCCCGATCCCAAACCAGGAAGATAGTCAAGCCAACACCACCACCTCGAAGGCCATCTCACCTGGAGAGAGGTCCTCATCGTCTTCCTCCAGGCTGGCGTAGCCCCCAGTCTCAGCTGGCTCACGGGTTTCTGTCATGGCCAGGGGAGGGGACAGGAGACAGGAGCAGAGCAGCAGCTGGGCAGTGTCCCTCCCTGGCCAGCTTTCCACAGCCACACGTCGGCCACGAGTCCTCTGATGCAGGATGTCAGCAGGTAGAGGGGGATGCTGGACAGGGGAAGGAAAGGCCTGTGATGACTCAATAAACTTTTACATAGCATCTGCCTCCCCAGGACTCAGTATGCTCAGATCCCAACCCTGTCCTTGACTGCCTGAAGGGCCTTGACTGCCTACAGAGCCTTCACTGCAGGCTCTGCCCCGCTGCAGGCCTTAATTTCCCCATCTGGTTCTCATTCAATGGGGTGGGGAAGGGTAATATTCCAAATATTTAACAGCGAGCACCAACATGGGCACCAATCAGAACTGAGAGGGGAACGTCGGCCTACGCCAGGCATTAACCCTTTGCTTGCTAGGCTGTGGGAAAGTCTGGGGCGGGGGGAAGAGTCCGAAGTGGCAGCTGGGGGTGGGGATTACTTGGAATAGTGCTGATATACCAACCAGTCTAGAAGTAGTTCTATATTTTAAAAACTAGTATGGTTGCACTGATTTGTGAATGTGAGCCCTCCTTTTTTTCTTTTAATTTAGTTTTTATTTATTTTTGGCTGCATTGGGTCTTCGTTGCTGCACACGGGCTTTCTCTAACTGCGGCGAGCGGGGGGCTACTCTTCATTGTGGTGCGCGGGCTTCTCATTGCGGTGGCTTCTCCTGTTGCGGAGCACAGGCTCTAGGTGCGTGGGCTCAGGAGTTGTGGCTCGCAGGCTCTAGAGCACAGTAGTTGTGGCGCACGGGTTTAGTCGCTCCACCACATGTGGGATCTTCCTGGACCAGGGCTCGAACCCGTGTCCCCTGCATTGGCAGGCGGATTCTTAAACACTGCGCCACCAGGGAAGCCCCTGCCCTAATTCTTTATCAGTTTATACCTTGGCAAGATGATGCCTAGGTTTGAATCCTAAATCTGCCACATTCTAGCTGCGCAGCTTCAAACAATGGACCTTTCTTCTCTAGCCTGTTTCCTTCTAGGTACAAAAAGGGCTTCTAGGGCTTAACTTACGTACTTGTAACCACATTGAGACATTATTATCTCCTTTGCACAGATGAGGAAATTGAGGCACAAAGAGAATTATCATACCAACTGGTAGGTGGGTGAACTAGGATTTGAAGCCATGTCATCCTACCTCTCATAAAATGATCCTTCAGCGGAAAAGATTTTTTGAAGATTCAGTAGGCTCGTTGATATAAATTGGTGGTATGTGGCAGGTACTCCATTAGCAGTGGCTATTACTACCCGCAACCCCAACCCTCTATAAACCCCCACCATTCCAGACTTCTCACCTCTCCCTATGTACGACAGGACTTTTCACATCTGTGGGTCTTAGTAAATCCTACAACTGCTGTCTAGAATGTGCTCCTTCCCCCATGTCTGCCTGGAGAACTCTTACTCTCTCTCCAAAGCCCACCTCAAACACAAGAACCTCTATACTTCTCCTCAGCCAAACACCCCCTCTGCCTCTTCCAAGAAGCCTTCTCTGACTCCTCTCCTTTCTCTCCCTCTTCATCAATACTCCCTACACACACACACACACACACACACACACACACACACACAGAGCACTTCTTTTTCTCCCACTGTGCTCCCTGAGAGTAGAGAGCCAGGCAGAGGAAGTTATGAAGGGGCTGGCAGCCTCAGCTGCACCTCTTATATACCAAGGCCTGTGCTGGGCACTGGCTAATATGGTGGAAAACGCATGATTCCCTTCAAACTCTAGGGGTCGAGTTTAATGCCGGGGACTAAAGAGAAAAAGATTAGGATTGAAGCCTGGAGGAGGCTGGGGCACGGGAAAGCTGGCATCAATGGCAGGTGAGCTTTCTAAAGACACTTGGATTGGGCTTTAAGGACAGAGAGGATTCATAACTGGCAGAGTTCTCATAATACCCTATTGCCTATAGAGCTCCATTTAATTTGGGAACTCTACTTTATGCCAGGATAGGTTGCCAGATTTAGTAAATAAAAGTATACAATACCCAGTTAAATTTGAATTCCAGATAGAGTCTTTTAGAAATGTACACCTCAAATACCGCATGGAACATGGGTATATTAAATAGTTCTTTGTTGTTAACCTGAAATTCAAATTTAACTGGGCGTTCTATATTATAACTGGCAACCATACACCAGGGACAATCAGAACTTCTTATGGGATTAGCAGGAGACATTGCTCACCAGTGCAGCCTACCCTTCCCCAAGCCCACATCACACAAAGCCCCTTCCAGAGTATTCCAGATGTCAGGAATGGAGGTAGTCCTTGGTGCCCAAGTCCCATACCTACAGTGAACATGGCGGCCAGACAGGCTTCTACGATCTTAGAGGGGCATAAATGAGGTTCTCTCACTACCATAACGCAAACGGTGCCGGAGACCCCACAGTGTCATGAGCCTACAGCAACCAACTCCCAAGATGCCATGCGCGAACATAATAGGCACCCATTCCCACAACGCTAGGGAGAGGAGGCAAGAACAAAACCTTAGACAGGACCATAAGGCCCAGTCCCCCCTGCTGCTGCAGTTTTCCCCAGGATGCCTCGGGCCTATAATGACCACCTTCCAAGGCGCTCTTCGTCGAAGCACTCCAAGCTTCCAGGATGCTCAGCGGAAAGTGTATGACAAAAGGCACGGTTCCCCACAAGAAGCTAGGATAATCCCAGAATTCAGCAGGCTCATAACGACTAGCTGACAGACTCCCACAATGCTTTAGGGCACGGCGTCCCATTTTCCCAGGATGCCCCAGGACGGCACGGAGATGAGTTGGGGGAGAAAAGGGAGCCTGGATTTCGCGCTCAAGCCGTCACGGCCCAAGACTGCTGCCGGCTCCTCCGTGACGGGAGCCGTCACTCCCATCATGCAGCGGTGCCGTAGTGCCCGCTTCCCAGCATGCCCCGCGCACCTCCATCCCGGACACTCACCGGCGCTGGCGGCCCCAGCTCCGGCTCGGCGGCTGCGGCTGCACGCCCCAGCTTTGCGCCTGCGCTGCAAGTGGGGTAGGAGGGAGTACGAGGGGCGTGAAGAGCCTAGGGCGCTTGCGCGGCGAGATAGACCATTCCTGTAGCATAGTGGGAAGAGGGGCTGAGTCGGGCCATCGACAAGGCTCGCGCAGGGGGTTCCGGGCCTTGCCCCTCGCTGTCCGGATTTACTTGGTACAGTCCGCAGCCGGACGGAACGAGAAACTGCAAGGCTTGCGCGTGCGTGATTGATCGTGAACGCGCCTTACAGAGAATGGGATGCGCTGGGGGTGGGGTGGGGGTACCAGCTCTGCCTGGATCCTGGACCTGAGGCCTGGTCATTTGCATAACCTTAGCGCGGGACAATGGGAGGCCTCGGGCAATGGAAGAGCTGATTTGCATATTCCCCGGAGGGGCCATACTCCGGAGCGCATTGATTAGCATATGAGGGGCTTTGGGGGGGGGGATGGAAAACGCCGGGCAATAGCGCATGCGCACAGGGACTGCGGACTAGCGCGAAGCGGGCATCCTCAGTTCAGTCGAAATCAGTTTGCATCCGGAGAGGGGGCACAACGGACAAGAACCTTACCAACCCTCACAACCCTCTCCCCATAACCAGGATAAATATTTATTGCTCTCTTGTGTGTCAGGCCCTGTGCTACAGGGCACTATGGTTTCCGCAGTGAACATACCCGGCCTCTATCCTGCTGGCTCCCCAGTCAAAGGAAGGAGATTCACACATAATCAGAACCACAACCCGGAGTGGTCAGACTTGGGGATGAGTAAAGCAGAGGAAGCTGTGGGAGCCACAGGAGGCGCCTGCCCCAGGGAGTCTTTCTGGCAGAGGGAACAGCAAGGGCAAAGGCCTAGGGGCAAAAAAAAATTGCCTGGTTGGAGGAAGTGAAAGCAGTTTAGTGTACCTGGAACAGAGTCAGAGAGGGGAAAGTCTCCTACAGGCGTCGTTAGGAGCTCAGACTTTACGATGAAGGTATAGGAAGCTATTGCAGAATTCCAGGCTTCCTGGACGTGACTCACATTCCAGTTTAAGATTCTCCAATGAGCTCCCGTTACATTTAGAAAAAAATCCAAACCCTTTATCATGGCCCAGGAGCTATACACATGGTCTAACCCTGCTCATCTCTGACTTCAACCTCCATCCCCATCCAATCCTATCTACTTCCACTTCCCCTCTAACACTCCAATCTCTTTACCATCTCAGTTCTTTGCCCTTGCTGTTCCCTTTGCCTGAAAATGCTTTTCCCTCTGATCTTTGAGTAGCTGCTCTTGTGCTCATCATTCATATCTTGGCACAGGTGTCAATGTGACAGGCTTCCTCTGATCTTTTTAAGATAGCACCTCCAGATTGGCTTTAGAGAAGTGAAAGGGTTATGGGATAAAGCAGGATTGGCTATGAGGTGATGGTTGTTGAAGCTGGGGTGACAGAAGCATGGGGCTTCATTGTCCTGTTCTGTCTACTTCTGTATGTTTGATGTTTTCCATAATAACAAGTTAAAAGAAAACAATACCCACATCCCCTTACTCTGTATTTTATATTAATAGTACTTATGGCAATCTGAAGTTAAGTTTTTGTTTTGTTTTGCTTTTTCCGTCCTTGCTGTAGTCTGGTTTCCTCATGAAAGCTTTGTGAAGCTAAGACTGGAGTCAACCTTTTTCACTTTGGGTCCTCAGTGCCTAGAACAGGATCAAGTTTGCGCTTAGTGCTAAGCTGTCTGGAACCCCTAACATTTGCCTGTTTTATTCACCATGGCATCTCCAGCCCTTTGAGCAGTAACTGGCACTCAAGTAAGGTCAATATAGTTTTGACTCAAAAATTAGAATCACTTGTCTAAAATTTAGATGAATGAATGAGGGGCCTGGAATGCCAGACTAAGGGGCTTTGACTTGATCTAGAGATGAAGGGGAGCTAGGGAAAGATTTTTGAGCAGGGCAGGGACAGGTTTTGACAGGGCAAGGTGTGAGTAATTGAAA